TATGCATCAAAACAAAACACAAAGTTTATCCAAAACAATCCTGAAAGCTGTTTAAACACTAAAAAACTACAAATAAAATACTTGTATTTTAGATTTTTGTATATTTAATAAAAGCACCAATATATCTGCAAGAGATCGGACTAAATATGTTTTTAGTAGGACCAAATTTCAAGAGGTCAAAGCAAATAAAGTTAACACTGACCCCTTATTTTATTGTTGGAAGTTTAAAAATGACTTCTAGGGGGGTATGATGGAGTTGATAATTAATATAGAAAAACCAGTAAAACATTAAGTAAATAAAAACACAATGAAAAATCTAAAAACCATAATAGGTTAGATCTCATTTGCATAAAACAAGCCGTTTTTCAGCCATATGTTTACAATAAGCCACAGACTTTTAAATTAAATATATCAAACTTTTAGATCAACTTTAAGGGCCTTTTTTTATGTAAACACCTAAACGCAACACTAAAAATCCCCAAACTGGCTGACTCTGCTGCTGTTTTCATAACACCAGGTGAGTTAGTGTTGTGTTTTTACCTCAGGTGGGCTGATATTGAACGCCTCTGCTATCTTTGCGTAAAGCTCCTTGACGTTGGTGAATCCCTCGATCCTCCCGGTGGGGCTGCCGTGCGCTAGCTGCGTGTGGAACACCAGCTTGGGCCGCAGGTTGGCAGGTGGAGGCGGGAGCCCCGCTCCGTTCACGGCGGATTTCCCCAGGCTGCCGGCACCTGCGTGTCCACCGCTCACCTCCTCGTTTTCCACCAAGTGTTCCTTCGTCGCCTTGTTTTTCTTCTTCCACGGTCCGTAAGGCATGGTTGTGTAGTTGTTTCGAGCGAAGACACCGGAGAGGAGGCTGACCTGTTGCGCTCTATTTCGTCCTTATTTACTTCCTCCTTTCCTCCTTAGTATCCTTCTTTTCTTCCGCAAACGCTCTTCCTCTCCTTCACCTGCTCGCGCACAGTCAAGTTCAGACTTTTTTTTCCTCCCTTTAAAGTTATGTCCCGGTTTGTAAAATGACTCACACAATTCCAACAGGTAGTATGGGATAAAATGAAGCAGTGGACTGCTGCCCAGTCCTCTGCCAACAATAGCTCCTCTGTTTGTGCATCAGCGTGTTGTGAGACGCAGGCGCAGTGGGAAGAGCCCAGGATCTGGAGAGCAGTCCCCACAGTGCACCTGTCCTGCGCCACAGGGATTGCATCCATCTAGAACTACTAGGTGGATAACACACCTTTAACAATGAATGACCTATGACCCAAAAAATAAAAAAATACTTGAAACCATTTTAAAAGGTACATTTCAATATATTGCCATAAAAATAACATAGTTCATGTGTAACAGTTATATTATTCAAAAAGAAAAACTTTCATCCAATGGAGACAGAGGCACAGCCACCTCAGGGTCAATTTACACTGTTCCAACAGGAAAATTAACAAGCAAAACATCCATATTAATTAACAAGCAAAACATCCATATTTTCTAAATAAAGGCAAACTATTCTTTCCTACAGCCTTTGCTAACAAATAGATGCATATAATCAAACACCCATAATTTCTAGATAAGAGGTAAAGTGGATAAAACTCTTTTAGTTTTGAGTTCTGGGGCGTAAATCTTTTCCATTGTCGTTACTTACCTACATGTATCAATAAACATTATGCATTAAATTGATATTAACAAGCATTAATATATACTTAAATTGATTATTTGATAAGTTTTTATTAAAATAGTTTTTTTTATCTATGATTTCACTGAAGACTCCTAGATGACTTGCAGACATAATTTTGTCTTTACTCCTTGTAACACAAAATCTAGTTCTGAAAAGAGCATGCATCATCTTTGATGTTAGTATATTGATGTGTATAATTAACCACAAAAAATTAAAATGTTCCGAATATTCCACCTGAGAGTATTACTGCTGATACTGTCTATATTAGAGGGGAAATGGTAGGGGTGGCCACAAGTGTGGCCAAAGATTGGCTAAGGGTGGCCATGGCCATCCCTTGCCCCCCATCTAGCTCCGCACCTGCTCTAAAACAACTAGGAGGATAACACACCTTTAAGAATGAAATACCTATGATGACAAACAGACAAAAAACAAAAAATAACCAAACTTAAAACAACTTTAAAAGATACATTTCAGTATATTGCAATTGTAAAGTTCATGTTAACAGTACCGTAACCTTATTCAAAAAAAAAAATGTCATCATATGGAGAGCGATGTACAGTATTTTAACCCTTTAAAGCCCAATCCAAGAATAAAACAAAACAGAAAAATTATTATTTTTTTTGGTTTGAAGTCCTTATTTGGCCTTTTAACAAAATATGTAAAAAGAAAAAACCGAATTTTTTTTTTGATATTAATAATTTATTACTATGTGATAAGTCAAGATTATTTTTTGTGTAGTCTTCTGCCCTCTTATATCAGGTATATCTGATTGTGTACAATAGGATTTTGAGCAAAGTTTTTACTATTAAATAATGCAAAAGGTGTCAGGCGCAAAACATTTCAGAAACTGTATGTATCAAATATGATACATTTGGCATTACAGGGTTAAGGCTCACTCACATTTTGATGATTATGACTTTCAATTAATTCAAAATTTGTTCAAAAAACAAAAACAAACCAAATGTTTGCAGCTACTGGTATCACAAAGACGAATAGTTTATCATTTAATCTGAGCTATGAAAACCCAAGAAGTGCACTAGTGTAAGACAAGATATCCAGATTTTCCAAAAATTAAATCTTCATAATTAATTGTTTTTATCAATTAATTGTTAAGGCCTAAATATAACCAACACCACAAGTTTCCCTGCCTATTTGACACTCTTCTCTAGGATGGCAAGCAATAAAACATAATAATTTAAGCTGAAAGCTGAATCCAAGTATATTTCTGGAAAGTTTAGTGGAAGGACACAATTCTGTTGGAAAAAAAAACTGTTAGGGAATGCTCATGAGAGTTTGATGAAGACTGATAAGCCCTGGATCATGGCCATAATATAACTACAAGCATATCCATGTTTTCTAGAACATCTTTTTGGGGCAAATGAGACAAAGAGCTGAGGAGTTTCTTGGTGTTTAAATTCCCCTATTTTCCTGTTAAAATAAATATTTTATTTGAAAATTAGGGTAGCAGAGTTTAGTAAATGAATGGAGAGGTTAAAAAATTCCCAGCTATCTGAACAGGGAGTATTAAATTTGAAGTCAGAGATGACTTAGGGTGTCATGTCCTTTGCTGTTGATCCGTTGTGTTTTTTTAAGAACAGAGTCTGAGCCACTAACAGGGAGCTAATGCTTCCCCCTGGAGGACATGATTAAATTATCCATTAGGACCTGGCATCTGTTAACATAGGTTCCAATACTCATTATTGTAGGGCTGGGCGATATGGAACAAAAATAATATCTCAATATTTTGAAGAAGGACTTTTCTTTTCTTAAAATCATTTTCAAGAAAGACTCCTCTGAACAGCTACAGATAAACATGAAAAATGGCTAAAAAGTAACCTTCTGGAATTCACTAAAGTATAATTAAAAAGAACTATAGATCATTGTGATATAAACAATATAGTTTCACTTCATATATCTATTGGGAAAAAAAGCTGAGATTGTTAATCTCTTGACATATTACCCAGTCCTAGATTATTATAAAGTTATTCTGAACAAAAAATTGCTTCTTTTTTTTTTAGCCCTGGAAAGAGGTTACAATTTTTAAAGGGAAAAAAAAAACAGCAGACAGACCGTCTATGTTAGGAATGTGATTGATACATTTAAAAACTAATCCCAGTTTTGAGCTTCAAATGCAGCTGTAAAGTACAGATTATTACCAATGGAATACGATCCCAGATACAAGCGGCTGAAAAGGA